TTACAATGTGAATGTTTCTAGTAAATCTTCCGATTAGAATTGTTATTTCTTTATCTAATGTAATGTATATTTCTACAATTATGTACAGTTCTATATTTAGTTTATTCAAGATCTCTTTTTCCATGCATGAGATAACATTTACTCTTTCTTCCACTTTTCTATTCGTTATTATTTCAGGTTTGTTATAAGAGGTATTAGAGAATGTTTCAATTATTGTTTTATTATATATATAACGGCTTAGGTAATCTTCATCTTCATATTTCTATGTGTTTGTTAGATTTTATATAATTTTACTATCTTTTATATTCAATCTGTTTGTGATTATTTCATTTAGTCAGATAGAAAAATGAAAAGTGATATATGATATTTCTGAAGTTATTCTAATCTCTAACTTATTGGTTAATGTTGTATACATTATAAGCTTGATATGGGATATTTTGTTACAAATAAAGTTGAAATAAACTTTTGGTTTGTCTTTTTGCTTTTTGTTCTTCGTTTTAGTTGTAAAATTTTCATGAATTTGATATTTTTAAAAACACTTGTCTGAATGTTTCATATCCTCACAATATATATTCATTAATATGATCATGTCAAATTACCACATTGTGTACAATCATTCAGAATGGGTTTTGTGGAGAGTTTTAGAAATTTCACAGGTTGAAATCATGAGTCGATTGAAGCTAGACCACCATGGAAAACCTGGAAGCACTGGACGGCTGTTTCGTCCTAGTATGGGACTCCTCAGCAGTGCGCATCCACGATCCCGCACCACGCGGGGCTCGAACCCAGGACCTACTGGCTTCGCGCGCGAGCACTTAACCACTAGACCACTGAATCGGCATCCAATGGTGTTAATGTCTAACTTCAACCAATCCACAAAGTTGCGCCACCGTACACGATTGTCTTCAGTGAGTTACTATCTCACAACAGACCTGGTTGAACTCCACTGGTAACGACTTCTCACTAGAACTCCAGGAGTATCTCTTGAAGTCAGTCACTAGTGAGTAGTTGATTATTATCAGAATGGGTTTTGTGGAGAGTTTTAATTAATCAGTCACAAGGAATGTAGAATTTGGTATATATGCAAATCGGTTCAATTTACCACACCATATTAGTTTAATAATAAATCTAAGAATATTATAAGAAACAATAATATCATTGGTAGTAGGAAAGATTAAATGCGGATAATTTAATCTGAAAAGGAGTGAAGTTGTGGAATAAAAAAGTATAAGATAATTTCGAAGCTCAAGATCTAAAAGAAGAACAAAGTGAGCGAATCTGAGATATATCATTTAATTTCTCTAACTATTGGTACAGTAATCGTGATGATCACAACCAAGTATTTTCCACCTACCACCAACACGGCTTGGTTCAGTAGCCAATTACTTGATAGACTGACGTTATGTTTCGTTCTAGTCAACTTACTTTTACACCGGTTAACATTAATTATCAAGGTTGGTGGTACGTGAGACATGTTCCAGCCACTTCAGTCAAAGAATCAATATGTTTTCAACTGATCTGTCACTTTTACTAAATACCCTATGCCTATTCGCACTACCGATGACTTTGTCGTTCCACTAGACAGGAGCAATGCTTTAAAGACTGATCAATAACCTGCGATCTTCTCCTTTCATGGACCAAGTTTCAGAGTCATAAAGTAATACAGAGCGAACTGTTGCAGGAAGATACTCATCGTTTGGTTGACAGGTGGACGTCTCCACCATACAAGTAACGCAAGTTGGGGAAAGCCAGGCGAGCTTTTCGGATTTGTGCTGAGATTGCATTAGACACCAACACACCAGGGCTAATCAGATTTTCAAGATAAGTGAAATGGTTGGCGTCATCAACTATTTCACTCTCTACAATCTAGGTAATGACACAGATCTGTTTTGAAGTCGCATTTCACATTTGGTGGCTGAGAAACGTACCCCAGACACGGTCGCCCTTTTACTCAAGGTGCTCGGAAGACTGCATTCTGTCCGGATCACGATTAGACAGGGCTGTGTTATCTCCATTTCGCGAATTAATATGTGGGTCTCGCGCTCGGGCATTAATCTCTAAATAGTCAGACGATGAGAGAATTATCTCTAAAAAATTTCTATGGCAAAGTTAAGGATGGAAGAAGTATGCAACCCTGACGAACGCTACATAAGGTTGACGGTTCACCATAAACTTTGACTACATAATTAGTGTTTGAGCAAAGTTCTTTCTTAAGATACATGAACTTAGTTTGCCCTTCAACCTGTCGGTCTGTGGACCTGAATACTGCCTTTAAGTGGACATTTACTATTATGGGAAGGCGTCGGTACGTCTACTTATGTTCCAAGATCAGGTGAAGTGTGAGTATTTGATTGATACGTTTAGTTGTGAAACTGGCTAGATTTTCCAGTTTTCTGTTCACGAGTCTGCATAAAGTGCTTACAAACTAAGAAATTAACTACACTTTACTATAATCCCTTCAAAGTTAATTCGCTTTGAATCTTTTCCTTTTGATTTCAAAATTTTTACTATCCAAATTATTTCGCCTGTCAATATCTTCACATTGCTGAATTCTATCAAGACTTCATGATACTTAAAAATCAATGGCTCCAAATCTGTTTAGTTACCAAATTTTATATTGAAGTACATTATTACGCTAATCTTAAAGTATCTCTTCAAGCACCAATTATTAGTCTAAATCTAATTTTTTTATAATTGTTATGACTTATGACCCTGCAAACATCATGTAATAAAATCGTCAATCAAAGCACCGACTTATATGACCTTGGCATTGTTCCAAGCCAGTGGTGTATTAACCAGCATAAGTAGCCTTGAGTCAACTCTATGTCCTTATTGGTCCTCTGTATTAATGGCTTCTTGTCTAGTGTAGCCCGTTCAGTCCAGAACACAAACAGCGTCCACTATATGAATCGTACATTTCAGACATGGTTTATATACAGAGCTATCAGACTTGTAAACACTATAAAATGGAAAATAATACTTATACAGGATCAATCCAAAAGTGATTGTGAGTTTAGAGGACTGTAGCTAATAAATTAAGGATGGTAAGTGGTACTACTGTAACCGATAGATCAAATGAAAGCTTATGATAAGAGGATTATGAATATACACATAATCTAGTTACTTAAAAGTTATCCAATAGGAATTTACGTAATAATAGTCCATAAATAATTCTTAGCGGTTACCACTAATTTATTCTTCGTTCAAATGTAACATTAATCTTACTTCCTTTTTAAGTTCAGTCATTCGCAGTAGTTTTTTCATTCAGCCGATTAGATAAGGTCAAAAGGAGGTTGGAAATTTAAATGTTTACACAGGTTGACAATTTATGGACGTGATTGAGATTTTGTTATCGAAATTTATGCTCTACTTATTCACATTTGAGAAAATTTTAATGCAGAAATATCAATTATTTGATGACTATAAACTCTGATTGTATGTTCCCTGCTGAAATATATATCAAAATTTGAGATTTTATTCAATAAAATAACACTCGGGCTTTAGAAAGTTAATCATGTACGAAAATATTCACTAGCTTTCCCTTGATTTGATATCCTATTGCAACTGATTTGCTTAAAATTGTTTAATTCAATTTTCAGGTCTTTAAGTTACATTCAAACTCAAAATATGAATTATGTGTAAATATACTTGGTGTTGTTTTTTTACTTGTTATTTAGAACTGTAATTGATCAGTCTCTTGTTGCTATATGTGCATCCTGTGTGGATTGCCTCGATACAACCTTAAGTCATAAGCTTTTTGAGCAAAGATGGATAGTGGCTAGCAGTGGGATCCAGGACGCTCGTTTCGTTCTATTTGGGACCCGTCAACTGGATGTTTCTGCATCTCAGAGTTGATGTTCACCCTGGGACTCAAACCCTATACCTTTCTCTTCAAACTCCATCACGTTATCCACTTAGCTACTGAGTCCTGATATGTGTATTAGTGATCAGATCATAGGTTTCCGCTGATAACCTCAAATCATAATATCTATAAAATTACTATACATAGTTCAAAATATCAAGTTTGTACTAATTTGACTATTTCATCGTAAAAACTTCTGGATTACATTGCTTATTTACGATAGTTCGTGTTCTCGATTAGCTTGAATTTAAAAAAATTGAAGCAATTTTGTAAGGAGTGACTTTGACGAAAGAATATCATATACAGTGATGTTATTTCACCACAGCTACAAATGGTCTAGACTTTACGATGGATGAGTTTAAGTTTATGTATGGTTTCTTTCGTGTATTCTAATTTTTATAATTCATTTTAAGTCTTTTATGAAACCAATCATTTAATTTAGTCAAGAGACTTGTATCAAATTTTGATGTTTACATGGAATTTTCGTAGTAAATTCCTTTTGAGTCAAAGCAGTTAGTCATCGATTGTCGCTTCCACGTTACTAATGCTCTTTCAATTTCTGATAATGGTACTTTGAAATATAATCATGCAAGTTAGCGCTATGTTACTTGCTGAACTGTATAAATAAATGGAGTTTACTGATTTATCTTTGATTTAGTCTTCAGGGTATTTCATACTAACTGCTGAAGCGATAATTAAAAACATCATTATTATAGGTAATCTTATGACATACTATAATGCATAAATTGTCTTCTTTAGCCACAGAAAAAATATACAGAATTCGTTTGATTACTTGTAAGTAGCACAAATTACAAACGTTTAATTATGAAGAAAAAAGAACAATTTGAATAAGAGGTATGTCCAGGACGACAGGTCATCGGTTTAGTTGAAAAGTAGACATTGAAGTGAATTGATTTTCCTAAATAAAAGAATCCATCACATCATTCAATAAAATATCGAAAAAAAATTCTTTCTTAAAAGAAAAAAAAACAATTTAATACTACTCAAACAATACGAAATATTCAGTAAATATTTGGATAGATTTTTCATTTGATTAGAAGCTTCGAAAAAGTTATACAAAGAGCTTTTCAAAGAAAAAAATGTGACGGAAATTGATTATCTATTATCTAATGATAATCTACTGATCTATTTCTAAAACCGGTTGACATATTTGGAATAATTTTTGAGATGTTGTTGTAGCATTTGAAATTTTCAATGATTTGAATTGTTCTGTTTTGTATCGTTCATCTATGGATGTTATATTGGTGGATTGATTTACTCTTCCTTCTTCATTACATTGATCAATCAAATGATTCATTATTTTTGTAGAAATATCATAATGATTTCGTAACTTTTTTGACTTATGATAATGATGTGTATCTTGTATACTCATAGTACCATTTGTATATGAATTAGAAATCATTTTAATCCAATTTGTTAACCATGATTTTTCAACTGTATCCATGTAATTCATTGATTGAGTTAAATGTTCTGAGTTATACCGTTGTTTATCATTTTCATTTGTTTCTTTAAAGTGATCATAGTGATTATTTTTTGATTGATGAATGTAATCATGATTTGATAATTTATTCAATTCATTTGGACTATATATTTCATTCAATAAAGAGTTTCTTTCTTGTTGTGTTAATGATTGACATTTTGTATGATTTGTTAAATATTGTGAATTCCAAGAAGATGATGAATTCAAGTCTGTTAAAGGAGTGATTTTATTTGATCTTTTTATGAATGTATTTGGAGAAATTTCATCAGTTTGCGTTGCACGTTTCATTTTATAACGATGATTTTGAAACCAAATTTTAACCTATTGATTAGAATGAAATATTAAAATTCCTTACTAATTTATAGTTGAGTTACAGAAAATACTTTGTGTGTGTGTTATTGTGTTATATTAAATTACAGGAACTGAATGCTCAGTTCCATAATTCATAAACCATTAAGCGTACTAAGAACTTAGCTATCTATTACAGATCCACTTATAGTGTATGAGTAATAAATTTGACTCTATGGTTGATCATCTATTTCCTCGATTTCTTACACTGGTTTCAACAGGTATTTCCTGGAGTTCTAGTGAGAAGTAGTGACCAGTGAAGTTCAATTGAGTCTATTGTGAGATAGTAACTCACTGAAGACATTAGTGGATGAGTCGCTCAATTTCATGGATTAGTTGAAGTTAGACATTAACACCACTGGATGCCGATTGGCTCAGTGGGTCCTGGGTTTGAATCTTACGAGGCGGTATCGTGGATGCGCACTGCTGAGGAGTCCCACAATAGGACGAAACGACCTTCCAGAGCATTCTTCCAGAGTATTCTTAAAAAAGTACATGGTCCAGCAATAAAATGTGGTTTTTAGTGATAAATAGATAATGTACAGAGATTTCTAACGAGTTAGTGATTTGTAGCTCAAGTGGTTGGTTTTGACGGAGTTTTGTTCTCTGAGCTGGATGATTTGGTTGTGGAGCTTTCATCGTTATTCTGAACGAAATCATCAGCACAAACTTCTACCTGATGATGTCGTTCAGAAGAACGATGAAAGCTCCACGACCAAGTCATCCAGTTCAGAAAACAAAACTCTGTCAAACTATAACAAAACACTTTGAGAAGTAGAGTATTATTTCAGATCTCCATAGTGTTAACTTCTTTTGTTATGTTAAAAAATTAAATGCTAAATTCCCAGAGGAAAGAAACGTTATAGGACCCACTATACTAATTAAATATAATAGAACTAGGGAAAATTGATCTTAATCGAATTAATTAGCCAAATATTTTATCTCTGATAAATTGAAACCTTTTAGATTAATGGATACTGGCATTTACTTCGAGAATTTATTTGTTTAGAGAATATTAATTCATTCCTATTTATTAACAAGAGATGAAGTCGAGGGAAATCATTTGATTATACAATGGTCGATAACGCTATCATTCCACTGGATATGAATTTGTGATTCAGTCACTCGTGTATATAATGCTTGTTTTTTTAGACAGAAAAACATTTCCTATTTATATCATATCATAAACTTGTATTGGACAGTACTCGTTGTATTTAAAAAATTTGATTCTATCATAGATTCATTCCTGATATGACTTTGTTGTATTTATTATTTTTATTTATTTATTTAAACACATAAACATTGGTACTAGGAGGCACCAAGTAGATATGCGCCACATAAATCATTCGATTTGTTTGAGGGCTGTGATACTGCCCGGGTGCCCAAACCGAAGCAGGTGGTTTTCTTAGGGGGCCACACCCCGAACCTTTGACCTAAAGGTCTGATCCACAAGGCAGTGGAGCAACGTGAGGAAATGCAGTCCCATGGTAGCCGGTGACCAACGATTGGTTCATATGCCATTTGTTCCCTCAGGATACTGGAGCCGATGTGCACCAATGGTTTGGTTTGAGATCCGGTTAAAGCGCCAGACATTCGCTTTTCGTCCTCTCTATTTTGTAAACAACACCCCCGCTGTGAGAAGGCAGTGAGTAGGACTTCCCTGGTAGAGGCTGTATGCGTGTGGTCATGTGAGAGCATTTCGAGAGGGAGAGCGGACTCTCCCCACTCTCGGCCATACCACGGCATTTGAGGGCACTTTGTTGTATATTTTTGGTCAAATAATGAAATGATAATAAATAATTGACTGAATATCAAATTAGAATCGTCAATTAGCTAATTAACTATACACATTAACCTGTAGAATAACGTAAACATTCACGTAAAAAGAGGTAAAATATTGTACTTACTTGTGTCGGTGTTAAATTCAATATTCTAGCTAAATGCTCTCTTTCAGAAGCTGTTAAATATCTTTGTTCATTGAAACACTCTTCAAGTTTAGCAGTTTGTAATTTACTAAATAAAATACGACGTTTTCTACGTCTTGTCACTGTATGAAGGTTTGGTGACATTCTGTCATCATCATTATCATTATTGTTATCATTATTATTATTAGTAGTAGTATTAGTATTAATAGTAGCAGCAGTAGTAGTATCACTAGTATCACGGTTAGACTGTTGAACAACCGTATTCATTGTTTCACTTCTATTGTTTAATGTTTTTTCCTCAACTCCATTATGAATTAAATGGTGTTGATTGTAAGAATGTGATTTAATATTGTTATTCATATTATTACTTATTAAATTTGAAGTAAATGTATCCAAGGAATCGTTTATTTCTTTGTTAGAATTAGAATTGATTATATTTGAAGGAATTGTTTGAAGAAATGATGGATTATGTTCATATAAATGACAAGTATTGGTTGAATTATGATTCCTTATTAATCCTTCATTAGTTTTAATGAAATTATTGTTAACAGTTGATGTATTACTAGGGTTAGTAGTTATGGATGTTGGTATTGATAATGATTTAGTACTTGATACATTATGACGATATGATTCTATATATTGTTTAAAAAGTTTTATTAACTCTGATGAATTCAATACAGAACATTGATTTGACCAGAGCATATGTAATGAATCTAATAAGATTTGATTAGTCATATCAGATTTATGATGTTCATGAAAATTATGTATTTCAGGTATTAATGTTTGTTTATGATGATAGTTCTCTGATTGATATTGATTTGAATATAAGAATTGTTTAGAGAGATTTATGGATTGATCAGAAGTATTGAATTGATCATCATCAGATTTGGATAGTACTTTATAAGTATCTAAATTATATAAACACATGGATTATTCTCGCAAAATAATGAATATATTATTTAGTTAAATAGTTATATTAATAGTTGAGATCATGAGTCAATTGAAGCTACACAACCATGGAAAACATGAATGCTCTGGACGGTCATTTCGTCCTATTGTGGGACTCCTCAGCAGTATGCATCTACGACACCGCCTCATGGGATTCAAACCCACGACCTGTCGGTTTCGCGTGTGAGCGCCTAACCTTCAGACCACTAAGCCAATCGGCATCCAGTGGTGTTAATGTCTAACTTTAACTAATCCATGAAATTGAGCGACTCATGTACCAATGTCTTCAGTGAGTTACTACCTCACAACGGCTGTCTAGTGCTTCCAAGTTTTCCATGCTGGTCTAGCTTCAATTGACTCATGATTTCAACTACTAAAATTATTATAATATCCACAAAACCCCTTCTGATATTAATAGTTATATGTTCATAATAAATGTAAACCAAAAATATAATTTATATTCAACCTACAAAACTCGGGATTACTAATAAGTTGATCGATTGGAGAGATAGTATAAATCAACTGCCTACCAAGTTTTTTTCAATTTCAATCATCTTCATTTGTATAACTGGTAATAAAGATAACAATAGCAATAAATCTCAGAAGTCGTAGTCTACATATCTAATTGACAATACTATGTTCATAGAAGGATTTTCGTCTAGAGACTATTTGATAAACTGTGTAAATAATGCTCCTAGACCTTTTGGATACGAATAAATTCGATAGAAACAATAATTGAGAATATTTATGCATTCAATGACCTTTTCCAATGTTAGATATTTAGCAGTAATCTACAATTCATTAGAACTGGCAGTCACGTTATTCTAACTCAGAAAGTTTGATGAATACTTAATAATGATATAATTAAAAAGTCATACGTTTACTAAGTACTATGATAAGAAAGAATAAACTGGACTGAATAGTTTTAAGAATAACTTGAGTCTTCGATCATAACAACATTGTCAGTAACTTGTCATGTTCATTTAACCTATTATTATTTAATTTGAACTGATACAATTAAAAAATGATAATCATACTACATTTCAATATGTTGTAGACTTGGAGTTTTGTAATCGAAAAAAAAGATAATGAATTCTTAGATTTCCGGCTATTACAGATACGTTTTTATGAATACCACTAATCGATCAATGTTAGACCACCAGTAAAAACTTAAATGCATTGAACGGTCATTATGTTCTGATATGAGATTCTTCAATAGTACACACTCATGGTCCTACACGCAGGACTCGAACCTAGAACTTTCGACCTCATACTCAATTGCCTAACCTTGAAATCACTGAGCCAATTTTTTTTTTATTGCCTACCTTCAAAATAATTCCCATTCATTTACAATTATCCTCTAAGTTATTATCTAAAAAAGTCATTCAATTTAAATACCATTATAAGTAATTACATATGATTCATTATAACAGATTACATTAATTAAAACTTTAGAGCTTATCTATGTTTCATGCATATAATTGATCACTATCATTTTCTATATAGTATACATCAGCTTTAAACATAAGCGTTCCTACTTTTCTAAGAATTAGATCATAATCATTGTCTATCTATATGATTATTACTACCTCAATTGAATAAATGCAAAAGGTAAAAACAAAACACTAGAAAAAAAGGATTCATGATTGATTAGAAGTCAGTTGTAAATACTGCCAATTTTAATATTCCCATATAAGTTCAGTTTAAAATGTTAAATAATAGTTATATATTAAAGGGGAATTCATTCAATGTAACAAAAAAAGAAAGGTACAACGAGAAAAAACTCTTTAAAAGCACTTATTCTCTGTCAATTTATCTTTGTATTATACTTAAATTTGTACGGCGGTTGATAGTTAAAACGGATTGATTGATTGACTAGTATAAAATAAGGAAATAAGTCTGTTTAATTACTATTATCTAAAGTAATAAATAGTAATTCGATTTTATAAAATACTACAATATTCTAATATTAAATAAAGATGGATAGTGGCTAGTGGTGGAATCCAGGACTTGCGTTTTGTTCTATTTGGGACTTGTCGGCTGGATGTATCTGCATCTCAGTGTTGGTGTTCACGCTGGAACACGAATTCAGTACTGTTTGTTTCAAACGCTATCACGTTATCCATTTAGCTATTGAGTCCTGACAGCCAATTACTTGTGTAATGGGATGAATGAAGGCAATATCGAGGCAATACACACAGTATGCACATATGCTAATAAGAGACTGATCAATTACAGTCGTAAATAACAATGGGAAGATTCAAGTAAACAATATCAAGCAAATTTTAATATTAATTTATTCATCATTATTTTTATAAAAATTCAGTACATTCATTGAAATATATCCCGTTTACTATTAAGAGTAGTTATTTCTTAGCAATATGATAAATCATAGTTAAGCGAATATCATGTAAACAATCAATAACAACCCATTGAACTTCTCTGCATGTTGATTAATATTACTTACATGAAAATAAGAAAATGTCTCTGAAAAAAACTGTTAACTTGGCAACAGTTGAATAGGAGATCAAATCAAAAACTTGTTAGTTCTTTACAAATTATGATATCATGTTTATTACCTTGTTTATTTTAGTGTTTACTATATTGTTGTTTATTCTGGTTAGCGTTTTTTTTTTGGTGGCAAAATTGTTTCCTACGAGATGGGGTTGCTGACCCTAAACCCAACCCTCTTCTTTTACCTGGGCTTTATTACATTACAAATTTAACTTTGAAGGGATTATTATAAACTAAGATATTCATCCTCTGACCGATCACTTAAACAAATCTATAGAAATCGTTTTAACTGAAATTTATGGTTAATTAAAAATAATTTAATAGTTGAATTCATGAGTCAGTTAAAGCTAGACCACCATGGAAAATCAGGAAGCACTGGACTGACCATAGTCCAATATTTGAATTAATACATCTCTTCATAATAGTAATAGAATGATTGAAATTTACAATAATAATAATGATAATAATAACAACTCATTTTCATGTTATTTGGATAATTGTCTTAAGTATAAAGTAGGTGATTCTCTATGTACGCATATATTCATCTGTTCATCTCCTACAGTATTATAATATATTTGATATCCATATGATATACAGAAGCTTTCTCTTTATCCTGTACTAAATTCATCAATGACACCTGTATTTTCAAATGCTCAACAAGATTGCTTTTTCTTCTTGAAAATCAACTCCAACAATACATTAAAAAGTAAACTAAACATTGTTAAGCTACTATTATTAATAATTAATTGTTAATTCATTGAATCTTATGGTTACAACAATGTCAGTTTGTCACATAAAATAAAATCACACAGCAAAAGAGAGTGTGTGTGTCTGAGAGAGAGAGAGAGAGAGAGAGAGAGAGAGAGAGTAAGAATCAGGAAATATAATCAAACTGTTGGCAAACAACTAAACAAAAAAACTTTTCTTTCTTTAAATTTACCGTTTGTTTCTTTCCTTTGGTTAGTAAACATGTTGATTCTTTAATAAATACATGTCAGTACAATCATTATCGTCAGCTTCTTTAATATAACCATTGTTGTTGTAAAAATCATGCTGTGCTCAAAAAGGTGTTTAATTAAATTCTAAACTATTGCTCCTTTAATCATTTTTGATAGTGATGATGATGATGAGTTCCTTCTCATTATTATTTACATTTTTTTCAAGACTTTATTTATCTATAATCATTTCAAATATGTACCGTTGGTACAATCAATGTCATACTGTGGTCATACTAACAGTAATTATTGTTGTTATCGTAGTGGTGATGGTGATGATTAAGATTTTAATGATAGTTATATTCAGATCTCATTCATAATTGTATTTGTTCTCTTCAACTCCCTTTCTCTTTCTATTTCAACTACATATGAATACATTTCTTTTGTATTCCATTTCATTCAGACATGATAGACAATTTAATAGTAAAATAGAAAGGATCAAGACACATTTTTATGTATAATCAATTAAAATTTAAAGTAAATAAACTAATACAGAAAAGAAAACAACATAGAACTACTGTCTAGTTTTAGTTTTCATTCATGTTTTCTCTTTTTTTTTCTTTTTTTTAATTAAACTAATAATTCTAGACAGTGGAATTAGATCGTGTTGAATATCTCTCCGTCTATTTTTTTCTTTTATAATAGATGGATAAAGGAAATATGGAAGATGAAAACAAATCGATGAATCAGTCAATTGAAGAATTGTTTGTTTATTTGTTTAGTTTTTAAATTGTTTATAAATTATATTGTTTAAATCAGTAGGAGATATTTATCGTGATCCATATACCAATTTGATAGGTTATCACTAGCGAATAGGAAAATAACCAAATAAACCGTATATATTTTAATGAAATTAAAATTATTTTAGCTTTTAAGAGGGTTGGGGATAAATTCCACATTAGCAAATCATCTAACTGTATCATAGTCAGTAATTACGGTTGTGTTTGTTTGGTCACTCAATTAATAATAATGATAATAATAACGGTGATCTAGCTTCAATTGGCTCATGATCTCAACCATTGAAATTACTATAATATCCACAAAATCCCTTCTGATATGAATTAACATGTGCTCACTAGTGACTGGCTTCTAATGAGAAGCAGTAACCAGTGGAGTTCAACCAGGTCTGTTGTGAGATAGTAACTGACTGATGACAATAGTGGATGTGTCGCGCAATTTCGTGGATTGGTTGAAGTCAGACATTAACACCGTTTGATGCCGACCGGCTCAGTGGTCTGGTGGTTAAGCGCTCGTGCATGAGACAGATAGGTCCTGGGTTGGAATCTCGCGAAATGGGATCGTGGACAAGCACTGCTGAGGATTCCCATACTATGATGAAACGGCAGTCCAGAGCATTCAGGTTTTCGATGGTTGTGTAGCTTCAATTGACTCATGATCCCAACCATTGAAATTCAAGTAATAGTAATAGTTTGTTGAAGATCTTTTGGAAT